CCGCTCCTCTGGATGGCGACAGAGACAGCCCGGCGCGCCCACAGCCTGGGCACCTCCTGAGAGGGACGCGCCGGGCCAACGTGAAGTTTGTGGACTTGGGCCCTCCCACTTTCTCGTCCGCACCGCCAAGGCCTGTAACACGGGAGCCCAGACCTCTCCTGACGTGAGTTTCAAGGCTTAGATCCGAAGTGTATTACAAGTATGGGGTGCTTGGCCTTTTACCCACATGTGACCTGTCACCCCTACTCGGGGTTATGCACTGATGTCCCTGGGCCCAAAGAGGGTGCAGCCTAGACCCCAGCAGTCTTCCCTGACCCAGCGTCTGTGAGGAGTCCTCCTCCACCTTAGACCTGCGCTGCCAGGCGCAGGACGTTTGTCCTTACATCCTCTAATCTGAGAGCACTCTACTTGTCCTCTGTGTGGCACTTCCACCTCTGCCACCGCCTTGGTCCTTGGTGAGCCATCTCCTGGTCCATCTCCTGGAAGTACCAAGGTCTCAGTTGTGTTTCTGGGCTCCAGTCTAGGGACTGGTCCCAATGAGGTGGGATTTCTGATCAGAACAGCAGTAATTATAACTCATTTTATTTATGTAATCAATTGTTATTTGCAAAACAGGCTTATTTCTATAAATAAGCTAAGGATGGGAAGTGAACCCTTTAAGGTCACTTTCCACATCTCCAACCTACCCTCCCCCCATCATATCCCCTCCGCACCTCCCTCTAAAGACCAGAAGATAAACTCCCAAGTCCAGGTGTGAATACCTATGGCCTTACTTCCTGGGAAGGTTCTGTGTCTGCCAGTTACCAGCTGCACCACCCCACTCCAAGCTCTCTCATCCTGCAGGCAGGTCCACACATACTAATAAAAGCTCATCCTTTGGGATTCATGGGTTCTCCCCATCCTGCACAGGGTTGGGGAGCTTGAACATCCCATGAGGTTTCCTTGGAGCTGGAGACCCTTTTCTGTGGAGCCAGTAGAGGGCCTGTGAGTCAGATTAAACAACCAGGGAGAAGAAGCAAAGACAGTCACGAGCTTCATCCCTTCATCTTAAGCCCTGGTCCAGGGAGGCCTCTAAAGGGACCATAGAACTCAAAGTGAGGGGGTATGTGGGAAAAAGGCAGCCCTCTACAGGCCCTACACACACTCATGCATGCATGCAGGCACACACACCATGCATATATACTACACCACTCACACATATGCTTATATTCTCTCTCCTTCTCTCTCTCTCTCTCTCTCTCTCTCTCTCTCTCTCTGTCTCCCCCCCTCTCACACACACACACACACACAGAATCCTTCAGGGGAAACTGAGGCAAAGAAGGGAAGTCTATCACTCTGGGTCATCTAATCCCTATACCAGTGGTTGGTGCACAGTGAAGAGCCCTAACCAGGGTCTCCAGCAGGATTCTTGTGTTGATATGATTGTGTCTATGCTTGGTTTCTCCCATAAATTTTTAATTCCTGTTTAATTGAAGCACTCTGACTTTCTTACTTAGTGTCCTCTCAATTGCAACTTCTCCCTGCTCTCTTTCCTGGCAAAGAGGTAACTGTGCAGAAACTGGGGCTCCTGACAACTTCGGAATGGTCACAAGGGACTCACTCCTTATCTCTGGTTGTGCAGGGCAAATATCTGCTCCTGGCTGGGAAGACAGCTCCCTCAATGGGATTATATACAGCCAACCACTGATGCCTGGATCTCTACCTTTACAACTTCATTCTTCTGATTTAAGCTTGTTATCTTGTTTTAAAAAAAAGACTGTAACTTTTTTAAATGTTACAAATTCCATTTCATCCTGTTCAAACTGAATTCTTGTTCTGTGCCAGATATTCCTTCAATTCAGCATCTATTTATTTAGCACCTATTAGGGGTCAGGCACTGGGAGTGGGGAGGTCAACAAGACACACATGGCCTGTCCCCTAAAAATCTGCTGTCAGTTTGGGAAACAGACAAGGAAACAAACAATTGCAGTGCAGTGTGGCAAGTGTCACGGTAGGATAGATTACAGAGCACCATGAGGCATAAAGGAGAAGGAGTGTGTCAGGGAAGGCTTCCAGACAGCTTGGTTTTCAGACATTCTTTGGTGCCATCCTTAGGACAAACACACCCAAGTACATGGGCACGCACACACATGCACACACACTTGAAGTGAACATTTCAGTGAACAATACTTGACTTCACAGTACTCTGATGCTTTCTCTTCTCTCCTAATTCACTTTTTGAACTGTTGGTTGCCCATCCTATACCTTGGTTTACAGTAATTTTCTTTGCTTGCAAAACACTGTTCCAAGAGAGATTTCATCTACATTCAAGTTGGGAGGATACATTGTAGTTGACGTGCCAAGTATAGGGGGCTGTGATGATGGTGGGATGGCTGGGGAGGGGCTTCCAAGCATAGGGGAAGGGGCATTGTGCTGTGAATGTCTTGGTTTATCTGGGAGCTCGGACTCTAGATTTTTGTGGTTATGACATTAGGGGTATGGCTGGAAAACTTTAGGTTATTGGAACATAGTACCTAGTTCATGTTGTTTACTGAAAAGTACTGCAAGAAAAGAAGGGGAATGGGGGCTTTGGTGCTTATGGCTTGAAGTCCAGAATGGTGAAGCATCCAAAAGCTAGTGAGAATAGAAAAAGCAAATCCTCTACTCCAGGTTACAAGTAAAAGGAGCCTAGGGGAGTGGTGGGCAAAAGGATCAGATTGAAGACATCAAGGTCTCCTGACATGGGGAGAACAACCTTGATCTAATTACAAAGACACAGCTGGGAGGCAGCCTAGAGACAAGGGCAGGTGCCTGGTACGACTCGGTCCAGGCCTTGTTTCCAGAGGCCTGGGGAGAGACCAAGATGGAAATTGAAGATGGGGGATGAGAAGAGTGCTGAATTCTGTTGCTAGGTAACAGAAAGCTCTGTTCTGGATCCCAGTATGCACTACCAATTGACGATTTGTTGTTGATGATGGGCTGATTTTGATTACTAGCCAAAACTAGTAAAATGGTGAAACCTAAACAAGTTTATTACAGAATTACACCATACCATAACTCCAATCTGAGACACAAGGAATGGTAACTGTTCAACATTGGAGGAAATTCTTGGGTCTCCCCCCACCCCAATCACCAGGTCACTGGGATGCTAAAGAGACCAGGCCCACAAAGGTGTATCCCACATGGTGGATCACCCAGCCTGGCCATAGAACACAATAGAAATAGGTTTCTCTCATAGAGGAGGTATGGCTGACCAAGGTGATTGACCAAGGCACACATTCATTCCAACCAGGCAGCGTCTTAGCTTCTCCCCTTCAGGATGTGTGTGTATCGTTTGCTGTTCTGCTTTGATCCACAGGAGTGTGGCTTGTGGTTTTCCTGCTCTCACCATTCTCCCATAGCGAATGTGTCCTATTTGTCATTTAGTCATAGGTTGCATGGCTGACCAAGGGCTCCCAGAAATCCTAAATTTGGAGCCAGAGAGTTTTAATAGGCTGTGATGTCAGGATGGCCCCATTGAGACAACTGTGAGGGAAGTGGATTTTATAAAAAGGCAGGTACTATTTTGTAAAGAATATATATGGAGCTCAGAATGGCAGGCCATTCAAGGGGTAGACTGTAGTGGGCATCATTGCTTGCCACTCCTTTGAGTCTATGCCTCCTTCTGAAAGCAGTTGCCCATTTTCCTATGAGGACCTGCCACCTTCTACAGTGATACCTCATGTGCTATCAGAGCTAACTCTGACAGCAGGAGAAGGATCCGGATGTCGAGGATGATCCAGGTGTTGAGGATGGCAAAGAGAGGCATGCCACTTTGGCAGCACCTGGGGAAATCCAGGTGAGAGGTGGGGCAGCTGCCTCCTGGGGAGCAACTGTGAGAATCAGACAGGGGTGTGAGGTCTTCAGTTGCTGCTGGCCAGGAAGTGGAACTGACAGGCCTTGGAAACTCAGGAGCGGTGGGTATGGCAGAGATGTCTGCAATGACTCTGAGGCTTCTGAATATAAACAATCGGGAGGTGGCAAGGATGTCTGAGGAGACAAGCCCCAGTCAGCTGCTGGCCAGGTATCAACATCAGTGAGATTAGGCGTCCCTTCAGTGAGCTTTCAGGCTAAGGGAACAGCTATAGTACACAGGAAAGAGAAGCACCAACAGGCAGAAAATGCAAAACAGAAAGACATGAGGCCCAGCAGGCACAGGCTGCACTGCGTGAGGACAGAGATCACCTTGCTGCTGAATTCCCAGCCCCTAGATCAGTGACTTGAAGAGAGATGGTACATGAAATGAATGCACTATTTAACAATAATTATCAATTGAATTGATCTGGTCTTAATAATGACAATAAGTAGTATTGATATATTCCATTTGTGTGCCAGGCACTAGTCCAAGTTATTTATACGTAGTCACTCACTTAATCTTCATAACAACCCTAGGAAGCAGTCGATACCTATGTTTATGGGTATGAAAGCTAAGGCACGGAGGAGATGAGGAAATTACTTTGAGTTTCTTAGCTGGCAAGAATACCTGAGGTTGGGACCCAGGGAGTCTGCTCCAGAGAACATACTTTAAGGGCTGTGCACCTCTGCCTCTCATCACTAAATCATGTTCATTTTAAGAAACGCAAAATGGGGAGACACACAGAAAGGAATATACAATGTTCCTTGATTCTACTACTCAGAGTTAACTACATTCAGCATTTGTTAATATCTTTTAAATGTTTTCATGCTTGCATTCTGTAGATATTTTGTAAACTGTTTTCTCAGTACATAGTGAACATTATTTCATAATATGTTCTT